CCACTTTGCTAGTCTCCTCTCATCTCACCCAGAATAATTCCTGAAAAATCTCTTTGCCACCCCAAGACCAAACAAAGTTATATATAGGTCAGAGGGTTGTGTTGATGTTTTCCATTTGTCTTACACGCTCATAAGCTAGACAGCCAGGACAAGATACTTAACCATTCTTGGTTCTGCCTTTACTTGAACATGCGAGGACAGAATGAGATTCTTTCAAAATCTTTCACATTTTGAAGTCTGTGAAACAGAATTTTTGTAGAAGAACCAGATTTCTAAGTATGCAAGATGTTTATAGATCATATGTATTTCAATACCTTAAAAATAGTCTCAACTCCGTTTTCAATATGCCAACATAAGCCAGCGGCATCTTCTGTTGTCTGTGATATTTCTTTAAAAAAATTCAGCACACTTCACTGCAAACAGACCTGCTCCTAGCAACTCAAGAGGAGCACTAAACAAAAGAACAGTAATTATTTTTCTCTCGTAAGAGTTGCTAGTACACAGAGCAAACGGGGACTGCCAGTGGCCCAAGGGAATATGGTAGCCGGTCTCCTACCCGACGGCTCTAACAATTTCATTTCAGGACTAAACAACCCAGATTGGCTCCATCTCTCTTCAGGTCCCTGCCTACCAGGCTAAAGAAACGGATGAGTGCTTCAACTGAGTAACTTACAGCCACCGGCATATAGGTGTCTCAACCAGTCTTTATTCTGAATGTGAAGAGCAGTCAGCAGAGGGACAGAGGTGTTCGCAGGTGACAAAAATGATCAGGGAGGGGTTATCACGTGAGAAAGGATGAAGGAACAAGGAAGACATTGGAAAGTAAAGCAGGTGCAACAGACGCGGATTGCACAGTGACCATAGACGTCTAATCACGTGCAAACATGAATGCAGACCCCGGCCCATTTGGGTGACATGAGAGCAGGGGGAGTCGGTCCAGTGGTAGAATGTTCTCGTCCGTGTGGCCAGTCCGCCTCCCGCACAGGCCCTGCTGACCTGTCGGCGCCGTGCTGCGTGTCACCACGACGCTGAATGGCTGCATGTGGAGTTGGATTTGCTTCCCTCCTGGAGCCACAGGGGTCCGATGTGGCCCCACCCCATCTTCTCCCACGCAAAAGCCAGGAGCAGAGGGCCCTGAAGAAAACAGGAGGAAAATGGAGAACCCCAAATTCAAATGTCTAAAACAAAAACCCAGACTGTGGAGTGATAGGAACTAGAGGAACCCCTAAGACTATTGTCCCACTAACTTGAAATGAAGCCACGGCATGGGTCTCCTCCGAGCCAGCGTGGTCTCTAAAATAGTGCCACACAATCACCCTCGTGAGGAGTGTATTCTCTCAAACACCGGACACGAGCCACAAGGTCAATACTGACCCCGGAGCAATGTTGAGAAGGCACGGAGGAGCTGGGAGACAGAACAATGGAATGAAATAGAATGCGGACACGTTCCAGGACCGTCTCCAGCACTACATACCCAACTCTGAATAAACTTTGACCTGAGACACATTTTCTTTTCGTAGCAAAGGAGCAGCCCCTTCTCTCCTGCCCGCTGCCTGCGACTCGGACCTGTGAGCTGGGAAACAAACATGAAAGCTGCAAATGGAAAACTGCCCAAAAGCAGGCTCGGGCTGGCAGCACGGAAACCCCTCACCCCGTCAGCTCTGCAGAGGCAGGCCCCGTTACCGATGTCTGATTCAATTCCCGCTTGCCCTTCAACGCCCTGCGAATTTGCCCTCGCTTCTAAACATCAGGAGCCCCGCTGGCACTGTGGCTCAACCACTGAGCTGAGAACCAAAAAGTGTTTCCAATCCCTTAGATCCTCCACGGGAAAAGAGGTGCAGCCTCGGAACCTCAGGTGGTTTTACTCTGGCCTACAGGCTTGTTTTGAGTCAGAACCAACTGGACGGCAGGGTGGGAACTGGTTCCACAGATTGCCACACAGTAACTTTTCCTGGCTGCGTGGATCGCTCATACCCTGGCAAAGACCGAGGCTTTTCTGGCACTGAACCATAGGGCCAGTTCCAATTCCCAGGGACCCTCTTCAAGAGAATACAACCGCTCCCCGGGGCTTCTGAGCCTGCACAGCGTAATGGAGCATTAATGAACCGCAGCCTTCCCTCTGGGCAGCTGGTGGGTCCCAACTACGGACCCAGGTGGGCCAAGCCTCAACCCACCACACTTCCAGGGCTCCCAAGAACCACACGGACTGTTTCCATCCACCTACAAATTCCACTTAAAGCCAGGCATGTATCTCATTTATAACCCAGGATGCTGCTTGTACTGCAAGTAGCCTAAAGCCACGTGGCCCAAGAAGCCCGCCTGTCATTCCCACAGCCCATGCTCCTGCCGCTGCTGCTCTGGCTCTGTGCCAGTCTCTAGGGCCTCTCCTCTCGGCCTCCACCTCCAGGCATCTGGGAGGTGCTTTTCCAATGGCCCTGGCCTTCCTGCGAAACTGGTGGGAGGTTGGTGTGGTGTCTTTCAGCTGCCATAACCCAAAACAAAACCCCACTGCCGTCAAGTCCATGCTGCCCCACAGCAACCCTACTGGACAAGATACAACCGCCTGGGTGTCCAAGACTCGAATTCCTTATGGGAGCAGAAGGCCCCGTCTTCTCCCCGTGGAGCAGGCAAACAAGATGGCGGCTTAAGGCACACCCTCCGGTCGTCTACAGATACGTCCCACACCTTAAATCTGTAAGAGGGCACCCTCCAAAGTGAAATTATAACCACAATCAGTCCAGAATATCCGTCACACGAGGAATTAGCTGTAGTGGGACCAAATGAAAATACGCCCAACATTAGCCAACCTGCCGTCATAATGTGTGGTCTTTAAAATAATCCAGGGCATAAAATATTTATAACCTAAATCACACCAATTACAGAGGCCGTGAAAGGTTAAGAATGTTAACACAACTAGTATCGTCCTTTCGTTTTCCGTTTTTCCTTTATGATGTTTTCCACCGTAAGTTCTCTACCAGAGCCAAACATAAAATAATTCTCGATAGAGGTGTCAACAGTTTCCCGGTGGGCCACGTCTTGTAAACCAGTCTCAAGTTACTCTATCTGAAAGTGAACATGGACAGTGTCATCTGAGGTTCTTCCGGTTGCCCTGTAGGATGGCTTTGTGCAAGGAAAAGTCCCAGTCTGAACATCTAAATGCCACAAAGTTAACAGTGCATATCCGCCGAGGGCAAATGTAGCGTTGTAACCAGAGGAGTTTGGACAAGGATGTAAGTCTCAGTCAAAGAATCTAAAGTATTACACTGGATAACAATTTATAAAACTAACAATTAAAAACAAAAACTTTGCTTAAATTGCATTAACTCTTTCTAGCACATGAAGGCACCTAGAGACCTAATTGAGAGAATAATCTGTGAATCCATTTTCTGCAGTAAACGATTGTAGAGGTCAGCTAGAGGCTAAGGACTACTTCACCTTGAAAAGCAGTCCCTATCAGTTCCCTACCTGACATTCAAATACTCAAGAGGTTAATGAACAAGGGGTGTGCTATGAGGTGCTAAATTATTCGTACCTCTTTTTCAACCCCGCTCTCCCCCATTGTCACAAGTAAATCCAGGCTTACTTTTGTCTCTACCACTTCTATTCCTATGTGGAAGCTGAAGTATCGTTGCTACTATTATAACTATTTTTCTACTTTATGGTCTGATTTCTAAATTAAGAGTTTCAAGTTTTTTGAAAATGCTTTTTAAAAACAGAAAGATATATATTAAATTCATTTTCAAATTTGCTAAAATACAGTAACATTCTGCTGTTAGTGCAATGGGATGAAACCTGAAAATATCCAAGTCTCTGCAGCTCTCATCAAATATTTGGTTGGGACTATGCAAATAAGGCATGTGTAACACTAATAGAGGGGGTCGGTCAAGCCCCTGCCTACCACCCCCCCAAAAAGGATAAGCCATCTTGGAAGTAGCAAGAGAGAAAGAAATCCCAAGGACACTGGAAGAGCCCATCCAAGATCTTTCTAAAGTGGCCAGGGCTGCTGGGACCAGATGCTTCACAGACTGACGTGGAAACTCAAGAGGAGCAATGAAGCAATAGTGAGACTGTGAAGTCTCCTCATCGAACCGAGACTATGGAACTGTGGACAGTGACGGGTCCCGACCCACGGAGGCAAAAAACACCACTGGAACACATGGCTGAGAGACGAGGCTGGAACAAGAGACTTAACCAATGACCATATCCTCACTGTTGACGGATCCTGACCTGGAGTAGCCTATGAACTCCTCAGGAAAGCGCTTAACCGTGAGCACTGTCTGTGAGTTGTGTACGGTCTTTGCAATGAACTACTGAACTCAGCTCAGAGAGCGTGGAGGAGGAGGAATGGGCGGTGTCAGAGAAGATAAATAAGTTAAGAGGGCAGCGGCACATCTGACCCGTGCCTTCTGGCAACACGGAAGCCAGAGGTCACCTTGACTGCCACTTAGGCAGTTAAAGTTCAATTGTTAGACAGGTGTTCTTCATTCAGTAACTAGCACAACTGTAAAAGCTCTAATTAAATTTCTCTGTGAGGTTAAGTTTTAATGAACCTAAAAAGTGGTCAATAAACCTATTTGTGTGTGTGTGTGACTCCAGGTCAGTGATTCTCAACCTTCCCAGTGCCAGGACCCTTTAACACAGTGCATGTTGTGGTGACCCCCCCAACCATAAATTATTTTCATTGCTACTTCATAAACTTATTTTGCTACTGTTATGAATCGTCATGTAAATAGCTAATATGCAGGATATATTTTCATTGTTACATATTGAACATAATTAAAGCATAGTGATTAATCACAAAACAATATGTAATTATATATTGTGAAATATTTGTGTTTTCCGATGGTCTTAGGTGACTCCTGTAGAAGGGTCGCTTGACCCCCAAAGGGGTCACGACCCACAAGTTGAGAACTGTCACAAGCATTCTCCTTTATTAAGCTATCTGTTAAGGTGAAACCAAAAGTGTAGGCAGATAAATAAACGTTACCAGGTACACAATGCACAATAAATTGAAACTTTTATTTAACTTATATCTGCTTAGTTTTTTATTTATGTAAGTATAAAGGCCCAGTTAATCAAGTCATTAGACTGGCAAGGCAAGACATTTGAACTACACAACAGGGTTTAAAAAGCAGTTGGTCTTTTAGTTCTCTGATAATCACGCTCACGCACACACACACACAAATTGGTAGCGTACTCTGGATATAGGATTTCCCCCCGCCCCCAACCCCACTATAATCTTGTGTAATGCACTGTTTCACAATCTGCAGTATTTTGAAATCTATATAAATTGGGCATGACCAAATGAGATGTCTGTTAAGTTCTTAGACCACACCTGGGAGCTACAGCGGCAATCACCCCCCCAAAGATTAATTTTAAACAATAAAAAGGAAAAATTCATACCAAAAAATCACAACAGATTTCACAGATGTCTTTGGGGGGTGGGAAATCAAATAGTTAACTCAATTTCTTACTTTTCAAATACGACTTAAAAAAAGTTACAAGTAGTAATAATTACTTTTCAACTATTAACTGGGTGAATTAAAAAAAAAAGCTATACATTATTGCACTCCACGGATGTGCAGAATTCCAAACTGTGCCAGCACTGAAAACCTGTCTTGCACTGAGGTTTCCCAAGAGGTACAACGAGCCTGCCAGGAGAGCATCTGGCCTGTACTAACAGCAGGCTGTCTTCAGTACAGGCCTTCATGAGGTCAGTCTCGCTGCTCTTGCAAAAGACCTTAACGCCTGCAAGACAAGAAAAGGACACTTTACCTTTAAAGCCACTCTTGTAAGCTCCTTCAGAATGTTAACTCATTAATCACAGAAGAACTGAGAGCATCATTGCTAAAGCAAACGTTAACACCTCTTCCGTGGTCATGTGCATTTTATCTAGAATTTGCAAACTTGTGGGAACTAAGTATTTCAAGTTGAGCAGAAGATACATGTATATACACACCCAAACATAATGCACCAGCTCTGCCCACTGAGTTCAGAGTACCAAAAAAAGTTGTTAGAAGCCCAGTATTGAGCTTTATTATAAAGATTGTAATATAAGCTTTTTATAAAGAAGATTATAAAAACCACCTTACTTTATTTTGGCAGCTCTTAATTTGATAATACATTTTAATGAAGAAAACGTCCATCTGTTAAATGTTAAATCGGAAGTCATATAAGTCCGGGTAACTTGCTGATTTTGAAGAGAAGGAGGTGAAACTGTATGGACTGAGGCACTGCCCTCCAGTCGACTCTGACTTACAGTGATGGCCCACAGGGCAGGGCAGACTGTCCCGTGGATTTCCAAGACGGACTTTCTATGTGAGCAGAACGCTTGCCTCCCTCATCCTTCTCCCACGGGACTTGCACTACTTACAAAACAGTTTCCAGTGCTGATTGGTGGGGCTATGACCGATGATGTGGGATTGAATCCATGTGCACATTCAGCTTCATTTCATTGTCAAGAATTTGAACAAGCTGTTGCATGGATGGAAGGTGGCCAGATTCCAGCTTAGACCATACAGGTACATCTGTAAAAATAAATAGCAACACCCACCCCACACACAGAAAGTAAATTTCTGTAATAGACATTAATTCCATAAATTCTTATTGCCTATGTACATAGTTGAGGATCCAAAATGAGCAAGACAGATAATTTTCTTGTCCTTAGTACACTTTACATTCCACTAGGACTGCGGTTCTCAACCTGTGAGTCGAAACCCCCTTGGGGGTCGAATGACCCTTTCACAGGGGTCACCTAAGACCATCGGAAATAAGTGTTTTCTTATTAGGAACTGAGAAACCGCTCCTCTATCCGTCTCCAGGGGCGTCCGCCCACATGCAGATGCGCCCACAGATGAGTCCCCGGTGGGAAGACTGTGACCCATGCTGCACCATGCTTCAAGACAACATTTCATTGATTTGTCATTAGATATCAATAGTTCACAATATATAATTACATGCTGCTTTGTGATGAATCACTATGCTTTAATTATGTTCAATTTGTAACAATGAAAATACATCCTATCAGATATGTACATGACAATTCGTAACAGTAGCAAAGTTAGTTCTGAAGGAGCCACGACAATAACTCTATGGTGGGGGGTCACCACACATGAGGAGGAGCTGTATGACAGGGTCGCGGCACGAGGAAGGTTGAGAACCACTGCTTTAGGCCCTTTCTGGCCACCTTGAATGTTTTGATTCTCATCTTGAAAACAAAGTAATGCCATTTAATGCGTTTTAGGCAGGAGAATTATAAAATGTAATAATGCATTTTTAAAATAACTACGTTCAGGAAGAGATTGGCAAGATTTTTCTGTAAAAACGGACAGCAGACATTAAAACCAAGTCACTGCTGTCGGGTCCATTCCAGTCCATGACTACCCATCAGAGTAGGGTTAGATGCTGTCTTGAAGGAACCAGACAGTGGTTGGCACCCAGTGCTTAATCCACAGTGCCACCAGGACTCCAGCAAGTATATCAGGCTTTATAAATTAAGGGACAAAATCAAGGCTATTACATAGGTGCTTATACAATCAGAGAGAAAGTATACTTTCACAGCAACTTCATTCATAGAATTGAAACATTAAATTTATAGACAATGGAATTTGAATTTCATACAATTTTGATGTCATAACTAATTCTTTTAATCCCCCCCATTTGTTAAAAATTATAAAAACAATGGTAGCTCAGGAGCAGTACTTCCTAACTCCTGGTTTAGAGAATGAAAGGTTGTTGGGTGGGCAGATGACACAATAATTGTGGCTTAGACTAGAGACAGCAGCAGTAAACGCCAGAGACATGTAGGAGGCAAGCCCGGTAATCCACTAGACTCGGGAGTAAGGAGAATGGTGTCCTTTAATTGAGAAGTGCCAATGGAGGAACACATTGTGGTGAACATGAATTGCAGGAAGCAGCAGTGAACAGAGTGTACTCCGGGGCAGGGCACTGTTTAAGATTCCAGATACAGCACCCAAAGAGGCTTAGTACAGACTAGGGCTATGCACTCAGGAATCTTCATGCAGATAATTTAGCATATGACCATCAATGCTCCAAATAATCCCAAAAGGTACAGTTCATGTAGAGGTGAAGACGTAGAATAAATCAGAATTTTCTAAATTCTACCTCCTCAAGTTTCATGTTTCTTTCAAATATACTTCTCTTACTAAGCATCAAAGAAGTTTCTTCTTGTGATAAACAGAAAGGCCTGATGCTAATTACACACCATTTGAAATTTACCACAAAATATAAAATATTCAGAACCCACCATTTAAGGTGATCTCAAATGCTCCTGTTGACATACACTGGTTCTCAATCATGTTGCTCAAGAAGAAAACCATCATACATGCATAAACCTAGGAAAACATAATTTAGCACAACAGGCGTTATATTGAAGTCAAAGAGCAATTGTAGACACAGTAATCTTTTTAAGATACAGTCTCGTTTTATTTGGCAAATGTTCTTTTTAAATCTACTTGGAGAAGGGTGATTTTATCATTTTTATAATACAATGTATGAATTCATAAGAGGTTAGCGATGCAGTAAGTAATTCTATGTAAACATCTCACTGCGACTGAGCTCATTTCGCTGTGCAGTGCAGCGTGTGCAGCATATTCTAAGCAACTGACTCTAAGTCAGATGAAGACAGAACAGGGAGCAGTGGCACCTGAAGGCGCTCCTTCCCCCTCGGAAGCACAGACGGCCACAAAGAGCCCAGAAGCTCCTTGTTGGAGAGAGGGTCTGAGTTCTCCAAACGTCAGATAAATCAGGATGTGGCAGGGATGCCAATCCACCGCAAACTGCTTCCCGAAAAGTCAACCAGAGTGTCCCTGGTAGTTTTCCTCTACCCGGTCTGAGCAGTCTACCCTCGCATTGCAGAAGGCAAGTCTATAGGATTCGTGTTATCTAGTGAACCTTCAGGCAATTTGTCAAATCCAGAGGACCTGTCATGACAAAATATATATATTCCTGGGGGGGAGCGGGGAGGGAGGGGGAAAATGAGGAGCTGATGCCAGGGGCTTGGGTGGAGAGCAAATGTTTTGAGAATGATGAGGACAATGAGTGTACAAATGTGCTTTATACAATTGATGTATGTATGGATTGTGATAAGAGTTGTATGAGCCCCTAATAAGATGATTTAAAAAAAAAACCAAAAACATATATTTTCCTGTTACATGTGGGGTCAAAAATAGCCCAGCTGATCTATAAAAATACAATGCACTGATAATTTGGAATCAGAATTCATATAGTACATTTAGTTATCACTTAGTATTCCACTTCTAGTCCTTAATCTTTTGTAAATTAACAATTGGTTAGGAATAGGGAAGTGACACATTCAAGGAAGTTTTAGATTAAGAAGCTTTGCCTATTTTGGAAGTGGTTCAAAAGTTATGCAGGATTCTGCCAAAGGTAATCTCAGCCTTGAACGAAAAGGTAGACCAGGTAAAAGATCCCAAAAGAAAATACTTGATCAAAGGGAATCTAGCAAGCGTGCAAAAGAGAAATAAAATGAGCTTCAAACCTGGTAACAAAAGTAAACCCTTCAGAAAACGTGATTTTAAGTCAGACCTGAACATGAAAGTGATCTAGAAAGAAGATAAGTTGCAGAACCGACAACGAAACATCCCTAGTGCATTTATATTGCTTCTTTCGGGCAACACGACAAACATATCCATATGAAACTCCAAATTTTAAAGAGTTTTGGCAAGAAGAAATTAGGGTAAACCCCCATTTGAAGTGAGAATAAACTCATAGTACCTCGTTTAGTTGATTTAGGAGACCCACACCATGTATATACGTTTTACAGGACATAATCTGAATCTAAATTTATGTAATAAAATCTGACAAATTATTTTGTGCCAGATCATACTAAAAAGGTATCACACCTCCCTGCCCCCGACCCACTGAAAAATAATAAATGGCAAAAACGAATCATTCTTAATGTATAGATATGGAAACCAAGACTTGCCGAGAGGTAACAAGTGAAGCTGGTTAAAACCATATGTGAATAAGTAGATAGCACATATAAATAGGTAGACTTCTTCACAAAATATGCTCACTGGCAAGCTAAAAACCTCCAGTACCAAAGGTGTTAAGGTACATACCTTATTTTCTTGGCCCCACTGCCAGATGCTAGGAGCTTGCATGCCAAAGAAAGCAAAAGGGTCCTTGCCAACAATGATTAAGCCTATTAATACTAGTTTGAAGACTGACAGGAAAGATGCTATGTGTCTATCAGAAAGAAAGAAAAAAAATCATTAAAAGTTGCACTTTCTCTTTTACTTCAGGACTACAGTAATTCAAATGTGTGTGTAGCATTTTCTAGAAAATAAATCTATATTATTCATTATAATTAGTAATTAGAAAGATGGTAGCCAAATTACCTTTTAAATCAATAAGTAAATTCACTTACAGAATTATAAATGACTGACCTTTAAACAGATAAAAGTACAGTATTTAACACCATTGAATTTCTAGAAAGATTTGAGAGTTCATAATTTCCACAATAAAAATGTCTTAAAAAACACACCTTTGAAGGACTGGCAGCTCTGAAATGACCCTCCTCCTCTTTGCCTTCTTACACAAGAAGCTGTCTGTATTTGGTCAAATAGCCTTACTATTTTTAAAGCAGCAGTCTCTGTGTGTTATTAAAACACACAGCAAATTACCCTAGCCCAGACAAGTTAATTCAGCCACTCCATATGTTATAAAGTCAAGTAATTGCTTTTAAGTTAATGAAATTTACTCACCTATATATTGGTTGAGGGAGGTAATTCTCTCCTTCAATGCGGATGTCTGGGTACCGCTGGCTGATAACCCGCATGTACTCCTCAAACACCCGCCTATAACCTCAGGAAACACTGCAGAAAAACAAGTATTTCCTATAAATGGCTGAGAACACATTTATTCTGCAGTTACATTGGTCTAACATTGTTGTTAGGTCAGATCTAGCCCGCAGTGACACTGTACCTAACAGAAGAAACCCGTGGGCCTGCATCAGTTGCCCAAGAGTTTCCATAACGGACCCCATGGTTGCAGTCACTGTGTGCCTGCATCTCCTTCAGGGCCCCCCCTTTCTTTGTCCCTGCCCCTCTACTTTACCCAGCGCCATGTCCTTCTCCATGGAAGCAAATGTTTCTCAACATCAGTCACATATTAATGCCTGAAGTTAGGGAGGTTTTGTACAGGTTGACATTCTTTACATATTCAATTCTCTTCCCCTCAAATACTGTATATACTCGAGTATAAGCCAACCTGAATATCAGCCGAGGCACCTAATTTTACCACAAAAACTGCGTTAAAAAGGTGCTAAAGGAAGGTGGAGTGGAAAGGGGGAACTGATTACAAGGATCTACATATAACCTCCTCCCTGGGGGATGGACAACAGAAAAGTGGGTGAAGGGACAAGTCGGACAGTGTAAGATATGACAAAATAATAATTTATAAATTATCAAGGGTTCATGGGGGGGGGGGGGAATGAGGAGCTGATGCCAAGGGCTTAAGTGGAGAGCAAATGTTTTGAGAATGATGCTGGCAACGAATGTTCAAATGTGTTTTACACAACTGATGTATGTATGGATTGTGATAAGAGTTGTTTAATGAGCCCCCCCCCAAAATTATTTTTTTTAAAGGTGCTGAAAGACTCAACTTATACTCGAGTATATACAGTAAATGCCTTATCAAAACATTAAGCTTTATGGTTCTTAAAAAAAAAAAACTAAAATTAAAGCTACTACATTATTTAGAAAGTCCACTCCTAGATATGTACCCCCAAAACTTGAAAGCAGAACCCCAACAGATACAGATACAATGATCGTAGCAGTACTTATTCCACCTTCCCTGTTGTTCACAACGACGCCAACCTCACCCTACTCACCCTGCCGCCACCCAGTTGCTCTCCCATCCCATTGGCTCCAGGCAGCTATGATTGCACAAAGAGACCCAACCCCTTGCCACGGCTGATGTTCCAGAAATGGCAATCTGCTGCAGGAGGCCCAGGCTCTCTTTTCTGGACATAAAGAACTCAAATTTGAAAAAGTAACTCACTCTGTCCACTTAGCACCAGAACTGGAGAGGGAATTGTGGGAGACATGATTTTTTAACAAAATAAAGACTGAGAAGAGGAGAGAAGCAAATCTTTCAAGAAAGAGAAAAAGAATCAGAAAAAGTGAACCCCACCTCCTCAACCCCTCACCCACCCACCCCCGCTCCCCGTTCAGTCCCATCTGAATTAACTTGTGACGGATTGAGATGTGCCTCTAAGGTCCATGATTATCACTTTAATTGTCTTTTCATGTGTTTCCAATGTTTTAAAACCAGTTCAAATTTGATTCTCCTGCATCCCAAGAATGTCAGCTAATATTTCCTCCATCTTCTACCACGAAAATGAGGGAGATGTTTTCTAAATACTGTTGTTTCTAATTGTCTACATCACTGATCACCTCCAAGATAATTGAGAACAGACCTTTAAGAAAGATATTTCTTTGGTTATACCGAACAGGCATTTCTTTAGACATCATCTGTTTCAGCAGACTAAGTAGTAGATGTTTGGTGCATAATCCTCAAGTGTCTCAAGCAATGTAATTTGAACAAATTGCTCAATAAACCACACCAGAAAGTAGATATACAAGGAGTAATAAATGTATGTTTCATGTTTTAAATTACAAACAAGCATGTTCACACATTTTGAATCAATTATTTGGATTAGAGCATGCTTGAATTTTCTCACTGTAATTAAGGGCATATATGTAAACCCAACAGCCAATATTAACCTTTCTAGAGAAAGGGAGAACCTTCCCTTTGGGGACATTAACAGGCCAGGATGGCTGCTACTGCCACTCTCACTCAACAGTGTACTGGGAGCCCTGGTCAGTACAGTATGAAAAGTTAAATAAAAGAAATGAACATCGGAAAGAAGTAGTGTAACTATTTCTGCTCACACATGACTTGAACTTACACATAAAAGACCCTAAAGACTCCACAAGGAAAATGCTAAAACGAAGAGTTCGGCTGTGTTGTAGGCGCAAGACCAACACACAAGAATAAAGTCAGTTGGATTCCTCACTAATGAAGACTACTGGGGGTGGGGTATTTACAATAGCTTCTCAACTGATAAATAACCTAGGAATTAATCTAACTAGGAACAAAATGAATTGTACAATGAAAATTATAAAACACTAATACCAAGAGACTAAGAGACCTACAAAAATTAAGACATGCCATGCTTATAGATTGGAAGACCTCATACAGCGAAAGCGTCAAGTCCACTTAAAACAATCTACAGATTCAATGCAATCTCAATATAAACCCCAACAGCTTTCTTTATGGAAATGGAAAAACTAAGGACCAACTTCACACAGAGCCCTAAAACCCAAACCAAATTCATTGGCATCGGGTGGATTCTGACTCATAGCGGTGAACCTCTAGGGCAGTGGTTCTCAGTCTGTGGGTCGCGACCCCTTGAGGAGTCAAACGACCCTTTCACAGGGGTCACCTAAAAGACCACCAGAAAACACTGATTATCTGCTTCTATGCACTAATTCACAGTAAAATGGATTGAAAGGAAATAAAACGATTCTGCCCCAAACAAAGGGTGCTGGCAAAGTTGGATATCCATTCGCAGAAAAATGAAGCAAGCTCACACCACACACAATACACAAGTGAATTCAAAATGGATCGATGATTCTGAATGTTAAATATAAGACTATACAGTTCCTGGAGAAGAATTTAATCCCATAATCATCCTGGAGAAATTAAAGAATCTCACAAAATGAAAATTATCAAGACCTAATCTACTTTTCTTTCCTAATAGTCTTCCAACTCAAGACACTCTATTTTGAAACGTCACAGAATCCAATTTACCCAGGTTCAAAACTACCTCTAGGACGGATCTCCATTCATTTGATTCTTTTTCTATTCCAACTGGGCTTATTGCATGAGGCCTTTTACAACCTCAATTGCTATTCCTACCTTCCTGGATCTCAACTCCCATCATTCTAGCCACCAGGGAGTGGCTTTTACCACAGCATTCACCTGCAGTATAAACCTTCACTGCGTCCACACGCCTTCCAGGGCAAAATCTGAACCTCTACCTGTCATTCAAAGTCCTCTATGACTCAACAGCAGCCTTCTTTCCCAACGACTCCCTGGCAGTCTTCTTGTGTCATCCAACTCACCAGCCTTCTGTCCCCCATACTCCTCAGAGAGCTGACACCTCACACTTGCTCAGGGACCATCCCTATGATACTGCTCCATTTGCTGCCATAGAATTCTGATTTTTGCAAGGTGCCACTAGAAAGGAATCCTTCCTTTCAAATACCCTAACACACACTAATACATGCTTCCATGACACTGCATAAAAATTAATGAACAATTCCATTATCTTTAATTCCCTTTTCCCACAAACTTTTGAAGTCCTCTGTAATACTGTATTTGGGAGGACCACATGCGAGAGGGTTTTAAAAAATTAATGGAATGAACAGTAATAAACAATTCCCTAAACAATAATGGATTTTTCCCATGAACTTTTGGAAACATCTTCCTACTTTTGGAAGACTGGAATAATCGTTTTTGCTTTAACACTCCTGGTGCCCAGTACAAAAGACGCGCGCGCACGCACACACACATTCATTAGGGGTGAAGGAGAACTTGTGTTTAGAAGACAATTAACCTCTGTTAAAGACGATGGTATGTTGTAATTTCAGAGTGGGTAAGGGTAATAATTGAACCACATGATGAACATAGTATCATTGAATTGTGTATCTGAAGATTGCTAAGATATTTTATATAAGTGTACATACAATCTATATAACACCAATTACTTTTCCACTACATGTCTACTGTGGAGTATTTCATACATTTTAAATGATCATCTGTGGTGTAGTGGTTGTGAGTTGGGCTTCAACCCCCAAGGTCAACAGTTTGAAACCACCCACCACTCCTTGGAAGATGGTACTTTCCACTTCTGTAAATTCTCTGAAGCTCACAGGGACAGTTCTATCCTGTCCTAGAGGGTCCCTAAAAGTCAGTATCAACTTGATGGCATGTGGGAGTAAATTTTTTTTAATCGTTTTATTAGGGGCTCATACAACTCTTATCACAATCCATACATACATCAATTGTGTAAAACACATTTGTACATTCACTGCCCTCATCATTCTCAAAACATTTGCTCTCAACCTAAGGCCCTGGCATCAGCTCATTTTACCCCTCCCTCCCCACTCTCCCCTCCCTCATGAACTCTTGATAATTTATAATTATTTTGTCATATCTTGCCCTGTCCGACATCTCCCTTCACCCACTTTTCTGTTGTCCATCCCCCAGGGAGGAGGTTATATGTAGATCCTTGTAATATGTTCCCCCTTTCCACCCAACCCTCCCAGTATCGCCACTGACACCATTGGTCCTGAAGGGATCATCCACCCTGGATTCTGTTTCGGGAAAGTAATTCTATTCTTTCTTCTCCTTAGCTATCAAAGTTCTCCCAACTCCTTCACATGCTTAATCAAGTTGGTTTTTTTTTATCAATTACCCTGACTTTCCTTGCTATTCCTTCTGGCTTACCCATGACAAAGAAACCTGTCTCTGTCATTAGACATTCAGTGGAACCTTCATGTCAGTTTCTCATACCTACATGGACAAGACCTTTGCACGCTGTAAATTCCATAATCTTCCCTCCTTATAGAGCCCTCAGGAGGGGGTTATTCCGTTGTGCCTTCCCACAGCAGAACCTGGAGACCAGTACAAGTTGGTGCCCGTCACGTTGGGGCCCACAGAGAAAGTTCAGTGCCTTCTGGCAGGTTTGCTGGTGGGAGTGAGGTGCCTCCAAGCATTTTCTAATGGAGCTAAAGAGCTGGTAAAACTTGTTTGGGCTAGTCCAGGAGGCCAAAGGCAGTCTCATCCCCCTGGATTCTAAGGAGCAGTTGGGCTGTACTTCTTCCAAAACAGAACTGTTTGCTCTTGGGAGTTAGTTCACAGTACTTTCACCATTCTTCCCAACACCCTAGTTAGTCTAAGTTGCATCAGCCCTCTGCGCTCTTCCTTACT